CACTGCACTCCAGTCTGGGTGACAGAGTGAGACTCCAACTCAAAAAAAAAAAAATTGTCTGCATCTAAAACCCCATGTTTTGCTAACAAAGAAAAAATTTTTTTTTAGTTGAAGTCTCACTCTGTTGCTCAGGCTGGAGTGCAGTGGCGTGCTCACGGCCACCACAGCCTTGACCAGTTGGGTTCAGGTGATCCTTCCGTCTCAGCCTTCTGAGTAGCTGGAACCACAGGTACGCACCACCATGCCCAATTTTTTTTTTTTTAATAGATATGAGGTCTCGCTAAGTTGCCCAGGCTGGTCTCAAACCCCTGAGTTCAGGCAAGCCTCTCACCTCTGCCTCCCAAAGTTGCCTGGCCTGTTTTTTTAGAGACAGGGTGTCACTCTGTAGCCCAGCTAGAGTGCAGTGGTGTGACCATAGCTCACTGAAGCCTTGAGTAGCTGAAAACCACAGGCATATACTACTACATCTGGCTCAAAATATTTTTATATTGTATTACAGTTGTTGATGTATTGGAAAACTGTGCTCATAGCTACTTTAAAACAAAAATCATTATTAGACCTGCTGCTGCTAGGTTTTATTATTTAATGGAGCAAATAAATACATTACTATATCACATTTTTAATATTTTGATGATTGCCTTCAATATTTTATTTCTTTACAATCCTATGTATCTTGTGTTATTTAGAAATATTATTCTGAGAAGCAATGTAAGAGAAAAGATGAAAATTTCCCCTTTACTCTTGGAAGGTTCACTGAAAAAAATCAGCTGACAAAAGGCAGATTAATAGGAAAAATGGGCCGGGCTCAGTGGCTCAGCCTGTAATCCCAGCACTTTGGGAGGCCAAGGTGAGTGGATTGCCTGAGTCTGCGGGTTCAAGACCCACTGGAGCAACTTGGCAAGACCTTGCCTCTGCAATACATGTAGTTCCAGCTACTTGGAAGGCTGAGGCGGAAGGATCGCCCAGCAGGTTGAGGCTGCGGTGGCCAGGAGTGTGCCACTGCACTCCAGTCTGGGCAACAGAGTGAGACTCCAACTCAAAAAAAAAAAAAAAAGGAAAAATGGCATAGAAATCTATTAGCATGCATCGGGGAGAATCCTAGAGTGCCTGTGCAATATCTCAGTGAGGTGTGGATGCTTCTATACCCTGCTTCTAGAGGAAGGGGGTAGAGAAGTGTGGATGGTTTTAGGGGAATTCAATGAGCTTGAAGAAGATACAGTGGCCTATGACAAAGTCCGCTGGGCCTGCAGACAATGGCTTGTAACAAAAGTCTGTCCAGGTGTGCTGACAGACTTTAGCCTTTCTGCCTGCAATATGAACCCAGTTCACGAAAACTCAGGGAAGGGACCCAAGGTATTTGTTTTCTTCTTTGGCGGGTTCAGATTTTAAAGAGATACGGGAACTTGGAATAACAATTTATCCTGTACTTTGCGACAGACAGGCTTGAGGGACAAGGGGAACGTCAGAAAGACCATGAGGCTTCTTCACTTCCGCATGTCAAAGCACCATATTTTGGCATATTGGTTTCTGAGCTCCAGCGAAATCCACAGTTACTTCCAAGGGCATTTGGTAGCTCTGTTCCGACTAGGACTTCACTGTGAAGTCTTCAACCATCACTTGTTAAGAACCCAGCTAAGTTTCTCTGAATTCTAGGTTTTGCTGCGGTTGGCGGTATGGAAGGCCTGAAGGAGAAGTACTTCTTGGCTCTGGCTAGCAACCGGAGTGAGAACAGCAGCTGTGGGCTGCCCCGAGAAGACGCCTTCCATATTTTCCGAGACCCGCTGACGTCTGATCTCCCGTGGCCGGGGATCCTATTTGGAATGTCCATCCCGTCCCTCTGGTACTGGTGCACGGATCAGGTACAGGACAGTGGGCTGAACAAGCTTCCTTTCCTTCTTTTTGCTCATTCAGTCATACTGTGGAATGACTGAAGTCAGTGCTTTTGTCAGTCTCTTATTTACATCTCCCCCCTTGACTTTGCCTTCCTCTCCATGGTTCTGCCAGCTCTTTTCCTCCTTGCTCTTGCTCATGCTAATGGCGAATCCAAAACAGCCGATGTGAGGGGAAAAATCAGTACATCCTGCTTATTATCTGGAGAGATCTAGGAAGCAAAGGAGATGATACATTTTAAATGGAAGATAAAACTTCTATCAGACATTGTTTGTTCAACAAACACTTTCTAGGTGTCCTCTGCATACCAGGCACCCCTCTGAGCACTTACAAATCAGGAGTGGGCCAGGTGCAGCGGCTCACACCTATAATCCCAGCACTTTTGTTACGGTCCCAGTAATGATCAACTACTCTCCTTTGATACTGATGCATCAAAGGGACAGGGAATTGGCAGAAAGTAGTCCTTTCTTTCTTTCTTTCTTTCTTTCTTTCTTTCTTTCTTTCTTTCTTTCTTTCTTTCTTTCTTTCTTTCCTTCCTTCCTTCCTTCCTTCCTTCCTTCCTTCCTTCCTTCCTTTCTTCCTTTCTTCCTTCCTCCCTCCCTTCTCTCTCTCTCTTTTTGTTTGACAGAGTCTCACTCTGTCGCCCAGGCTGGCGTGCAGTGACATGCTCACGGCCACTGCAGCCTCAACCTGTTGGGCTCAGGTGATCCTTGCCCCTCAGCCTTCCAAGTAGCTGGAACTACAGGTGCACGCTTCCACACCTGCTAGTTTTTTTTTTTTTAATTTATTGTAGAGATGAGGTCTTGCCCAGTTACCCAGGCTGATCTCAAACCCGTGGGCTCAGGTAGTCCTCTCACCTCAGCCTTCCAAAGTGTTGGGATTATAGGCGTGAACCCGGCCTCACTGCCCCTTTAAGAGAGTGGACTTCTCCTCCTTAGCAAATCTCAGGCGGGAGAGACCACGGTACAAGTTCACACTAACGGCATGGGCCTCACATTTAACAGGCCTGGGGTCAAATTCAGGCAGCATTATCTTGGGACACATTTAACATCCCTGAGCCTCCGTTTCCTCATCTGTTCCTCATCTGTTTTAGATTTTTTTCTTTTTTCTTTTATTTATTTATTTATTGTAGAGACGAGGTCTTGCCAATTTGCCCAGGCTGGTCTTGAACCCTTGGGCTCAGGCAATCCTCTCAAATTGCTGGGATTACAGGCATGAGCCATTGTGAGTACTCCTCATCTGTTAAATGAGGTTACAACATTCAGCATGAGGAATTTGATCATAGCCAATTTGTTGCAGGGACATTAAATTCGCAAACCATTAAAAACATTTACACTCCATGGCAGGTACCATTAATACTCTTATTTTATATATGAGGTCCAGAGAGGTTAAATTACTTGCCCAAGGTCACACAGCTTATAAATGTTGGAGCCAGGACATGAACCTAGATAGTCTGGTTCTAACCTGTAATTGAATCTCATAATTTGATAGTATATGTAACATACTGAAGTCTGTGCCTGGCATAGAATAAGCACCCAAAAATAGTTAGTCATTATGAAGATAAAGGTCATAATTAATAAGTGTAAACCCCTTCCCTCCTGTTAAAATCATATCCCAGGCAGGGGATGGTGGCTCATGCCTGTAATCTCAGCACTTTGGGAGGCTGAGGCAGGAGGATTGCATGAGTCCAGGAGATCAAGACCAGCCTGGGCAACATAACAAGACCCCGTCTCTGCAAAAAAATTAAAAAACTAACTGGGTCTGGTGGCATGTGTCTATAGTCCCAGCTACTCGGGAGGCTAGGGTGGAAGGATCGCTTGAACCCAGGAGGTTGAGGCTGAGGTAAGCCATGATCGTGCCGCTGCACTCCAGCCTGGGTGACAGAGTGAGACTCTGACTCAAAAAAAAAAGTACATTTTCACAATGGTTTTTGTAACTGCTCTTGACATAGCTTGTATTTATTTATTTATTATTTATTTATGTATTTATTGAGTTGAAGTCTCACTCTGTCACCCAGACTGGAGTGCAATGGCTGCTCCTGGCCACCGCAGCCTCGACCTGCTGGTCTCCTGCGATTCTTCCGCCTCGAGTAGCCGGAATTACAGGCATGCACTACCACTCCTGGCTGATTTTTTGATTTACTATAGAGATGAGGTCTTGCTGCCCAGGCGGGTCTCGAACCCTCGGGCTCAGGCAATCCACTTACCTCAGCCTCCCAAAGGCGCAGGGTTACAGGCTGAGCCACCGAGCCCGGCTGCTTGTATTTATTAATAGCTACAAATAATTCCTTGAGATTCTTCAAATCCTTATTCTAGTGAGTACCCCTTAAAGGCCACCTCCAACCCACCCCACATTGCTCAAGAGCATGAGGACTCAGTTCACGAGGGCTTGAGCTCCTTCCAAATGCCAGACAGACCAATAGGGCCCAAAAGTTCAAGCCTTCCTGTTATGGTCCGAAAAATGCTCGGCTGCTCCCCTTGATACCAATGAATCAAAGGGGCAGAGAACTGATAGAAAGCAGTTTATTTCTGAGTTCAAATCCAGGAAGCAGGGCCAGACTTGAGGTCTTTCTAAAATGGTTCTGTTCACCCTCTAGACTTTTACAGTTTACTTTCATAAGTCCAGAGTTGCTAGTACCTATACATTAGCCACGTGACCAGCAAAGCATTGTATTGAACTTTAGTTTCAGCCCCATTTATCGATAGTGACATTTTTGGGTCCAGATTTCCTGGTGTCCGGTATAAGAGGTCTCGCATAGCTCTTATCAGCAGGCCAGGCAGAAGCGTTAATCAAGCTTGCTATAGAGTAAAGGAAGTTTACAAGGCCTAAGACATCATGCATTATGCAAAAATTATGCAAATCACAAAACTGACGATTACATTGATACTATATTATTCAAACTTATCTCCACTCAGAAAAAGGGAGTAAATGGGGATTTGCATCTTGAACTTGATTGGGTATGGATTATAGGGAAGTCAAGGATTCTCTGGAGCTACTTACGGGGAGTGCATGGGAGATAAGGGGAAGCACACCTTTTATTAGCTCTTAAGAATATTATTCAGGAATGTACAGGAACACTTGAGCCCTTGCCATACCCTTCTCTAGGGACTGACATTAGCGGGTCTTGGTATCATTTCCCCACTGTCAGTTGAAGCCATGATATCTATCATGGGAGTAGCTATGTCATGCTGACTTAACGTAAATGTACGTATTGCCGGGCCCGGTGGCTCAGCCTGTAATCCCGCGCCTTTGGGAGGCTGAGGTGAGTGGATTGCCTGAGCCCGCGGGCTCGAGACCCGCCTGGGCAGCGAGACCTCATCTCTACAATAAATCAAAAATTAGCCGGGCATGATAGCGCGTGCCTGCACTTCCAGCTACTTGGAAGGCTGAGGCGGAGGTCGAGGCTGCGGTGGCCGGGAGCAGCCACTGCCCTGCAGTCTGGGAGTGAGACTCCAACTCAAAAAAATATATAAATAAATAAATATAAATAAATGTACGTATGGTTCTTTCTCTCAGCTGGCTTTCATGCTTTATAGATTTAATTATGAGCACAGTAATTTAAAAAATGCATCAGGTACAAAGCGTGATGTAATTGCTATTAAAAACGTTGTTAGAAAGAACTTCCCAGGTCGGGTGTGGTGGCTCATGTTTATAATCCCAGCACTTTGGGAGGCCGAGGAGAGGCCTGAGCCCATGGGTTCAAGACCAGCCCGGGCAACTTGGTGAGACCTCCTCTATGCCATGCTGACAACATAAATGTACGTATGGCCGGGCTCAGTGGCTCAGCCTGTAATCCCGCGCCTTGGGAGGCTGAGGTGAGTGGATTGCCTGAGCCCGCGGGCTCGAGACCCGCCTGGGCAGCGAGACCTCCTCTCTACTATAAATCAAAAAATTAACCAGGCATGGTAGCACACACCTGTAGTTCCAGTTACTTGAAAGGTTGAGGTGGAAGGATCGCCTGAGCCCAGTAGGTCGAAGCTGCGGTGGCCGTGAGCATGCCACTGCCCTCCAGCCTGGATAATAGAATGAGACTAAGACTCAAAAAAAAAGAACTTCCCTATGCCTGAAAGGAGGCCCTGTAACCCTGATGGGAGCCAAGAAAATATGTGGGAAAACCAATCAGATATTTCCAAGCACCTCTTTAGCATAAGCATCTGCATCGCCTATATAGCATTAATGCTGGTTTTCATTTGGCTTGGCATCACTGTGATGTTCCCTGATTCACCTGGGGTGAAAATGTAACACTCAGTATGGATAATGGCACATGTGCCCCTCTGAGACGTAGTAAGAATTTCTAAAGTCATTCAGTTTTGTAGCACTGCCTTACACACCAGTCATTTCAGTATTAATTATTTTTGCTATTGTTCAAGGTTCACTGTGTGAACTTAGCTAAGGCTTCAATGTGGAGGGACACACTTTCCAATTCTATATTGGCTAAAAAGAAATTAAGAGCATAATCATAAGATTTAAAAACAGATCTAAAGGCTGGATGCAGTGGCTCAAGCCTGTAATTCTAGCACTTTGGGAGGCTGAGGCGAGGGGATTGCCTGAGCCCACGGGTTAGAGAACAGCCTGGGCAACTTGGCGAGACCTCATCTCTACAATAAATCAAAACATTAGCTGGGCATGGTAGCACTCACCTGTAGTTCTGGCTACTTCTTGGTTGAGGTGGAAGAATTGCCTGAGCCCAGCAGGTCGACACTGGGGTGGCCGTGAGTGTGCCACTGCACTCCAGCCTGGGTGAGAAAGTGTGACTCCAACTCAAAAAATAAAAAATAAACCGGGCTCGGTGGCTCAGTCTGTAATCCCACGCCTTTGGGAGGCTGAGGTGAGTGGATTGCCTGAGCCTAAGGGTTCGAGACCCACTTGGGCAACTTGGCGAGACCTAATCTCTACAATAAATCAAAAATGAACTGGGTGTGGTAGTGCGCGCCTGTAGTTCCAGCTACTTGAAAGGCTGAGGCAGAAG